GGGGGGGGGGCGGTGGGGAGGGAAGGGAGGTAACATTGATCGCAATGCACCTCCACTGGTAAATATTCTTGTCCTGAACAGGCCGATGTTGTTTTTTCTTTTGAAGAATGAAAATACGCGTGAATTGCAAAGTAGCTACGATCTTTTACTTCAACAACAACAGTTGTTTTTACAATGGCAGCGTGAGGTTGAAGAGTCTCGAGCCCTCGGCACTTCACAGGTAACGGAAAAGAATTTTACATTGTTTATCTTCTAAAATGTTTTGCAAATTCATTATAATGCAACATGTTGTAGGTCAGTTGAATACTCTGCATTATTATAATAACTGGTGTGATGTAATTCTTTATCGTTAAATGTAAAAAGTGGCGTTACTAAATGCATTAAGGAAGTTATTTTCAGGAAGAGGAAGGACGACATTGTCTAGATGAATGTGTTACATCGAGCGCAACATCACCGTGTATGGCAACATCCGCGCAAAGTTCGTTAGTTGGTTCGGATTGCGTTCAGAATGGAGTGCAGTCTGTTATATCCGAACAAATACAAGAAACTCAGCAGTGTTGTCAGTGTTCCAGTGCGAATTTTAATTATTCAGGGATATCATCCGGAACCATTAATTCTGTGAGTGATAATGAAAAGCCAAGAACCCGTCTTGCAGACTATCGAGTGCAAGATCTCAAAAATGAATGCAAAAAACGTCAGTTGCCTGTTTCCGGTGCAAAGCCGCAACTATTGGAACGATTAAGACCATACGAGGAATCGATTTTGAATCACTGCGGTGGAACTACATTAACGGATTCATCATCCGATTTGATTTCCGTCTCGCCTCCAGCTCCTGATGTGGCAACACAGTCGAATCGGTTACCTCCTATCAGCAATGTTATTAGTGACTATGGTCATAAACATTCTATTTCATCTTTGGTACAGCGGACTCAGTCAGCGCAACAGCACTCTCTTGTCGTACAGTTGCCTCCAGCACAACATCAGCATCAAGTTTTGCATGTATTTTTTCCTGTTATATATTTCGGATAAACTTGATATGATCACCTCCATCATGATACAGGAATTGTGATGATCTGACACTGCTGGTCTTTATTAGGACGTTTATTGAGAGGCTTGATTCAAATTCAGATATTGATGTTACTGCTACTACTGTTTTTTTTAGAGTAATTTCAAGCACCTTACCTGGCGATTGATCAGTGGGAAATTTTCTGGTTGGCAAATCTTTTGGTGGGTAATGCACGATCATACGTGTACTACTGCTAATAGATATGCAGCACTAAGTGATCGCAAGCAATTCTTATTCATGTTTCAATAAAGCATGAATCACTTATGAATGAGACCTATTGGCTAAATAGTTCCCTTTGCGTAAGTAATCGGTTTCGAAACATCGATTAAGTCATTCTGTTTCAGCTTGTGGATGCCAATGGCGCAGTTGTTGCAACAGCAACGGTACCACACAGTGTGCAATGTTGTTGCATGTCATCGGAATATCCGCTCACTACTAACATCACCTTGAACGGTACCACAACTCAATCTACCGGTGTTCGATTACACCAGCAACTTTCAGCTACTACAGAAGTAACACAAAATGTAGTGCAGCAAATGCAAACAGAACCTACTTTTAGTTTTGCACAGCTTGGTTCAGGTGGACAAGTACGTTAATGTGTTTTCGGAATTTAGAAGTCTTTAGTGAATTTATTGCAAAAAAGCTGCTGTTCCAGAAGCTGATTAAGAGTTTTTTCAGAAATAGGAATGAGAAACTTGAAAAAGAGTTTCTGTGACATTGAAATTTCCAGCTGATATCGTGTTTTATTTGATATTTTTCTCTTATTATTCTCAAAATAGTTATTTTCAGTTTACGTTAGTGCGAACATCTTCTGTTGAACAGCTGCAACAACAATCTCCTCACGTTATGCATTCATCTCAAGCTGGACAGCATCATCATCAACAGCAGCAAACTCAGCTGATACAGGGCACAATGCCAGCGAATCCAGTTCTCAGTTGTCATTTATCGCGATCCAGCAGTTCACCAGATCAGCGTCTGACGGGCGCATCGCATCAAATAACTGGAACATCGCGTAGCACTCAGCAGCAGCAGACGCAAGCACAGATTCAGCATGCCGGAACTGGAACAGCTACATGTTCTGGTGTAAAGCAACAAAACTGTCATAGCCAGTTCATTATATGTAATAACGTTACGCGGCATAATTCAAAGGTAACTGCTATTTATGAGAAGTGAATGTTGCTGTGCGATGGTGATTTGAAAATAGTGTTTATGAATGTTGCTGCCGCTGTCCAAATGTTTTCATTGTTATATGAAACTGGCAACAAATGGTTAATATCCGATGAAGCTGATAAATATCTCTTGATAATTTTAATAACATATTTCTTCATTTTAGTAAATGAAATTTGGAAGTAGTTTACCACCGGTTTTCTGTATTCAATGCAAAGGTTCCATTTAATGTAGCACATCATAAGCTTTTTTTAATTCATTTTTATGGAGTAGAATAAAGCAAATATAACATATTTGAGCAAATATTTTGAAAATTTTGAGAGAAAATAGTCAGGGATCCTTCGATTGTTGGAATTTTATATCAATCATTTGCTCTGTAGATCAGCTATTTTGAGAAGAGGTGTGTGTGTCTGAAAAAAATATCAGTACATTTGCGTGCTGAGAGAGAGAAAATATTTTCTGGAAGAAGTATTTTGAATGATATATGTAAGTGAGAAGCCATAAATATTGGTGAATAAGGCTGCATTGGGAGACTTTGTTTTGGCTTGTTTAAAAGCTATAATTTGGATGAAAAAGTTGTTCTCGTAAAAAATGGTTTAGGAGTAGATGAATAACCTACGTAACAGAAGTGCCTGTAATTGATCATTGACGTTAGTCAATATTTTTAAACAGTTGGCAATTTGTATTCAGAAGTGTAAAGGACATTCTTTGTTCTAAATACCATCAAGGGAGAAGTATAATAATTTAAATTATTTGTTTAATATTGGTGGTCTGTTACACTTCCATAAAGTCAGTGATATAATTTTAATCATAGCATTCTGACGCTATTCTATTTTTTATGGTTATTACTAAAATACGAAAATGTTCGACTGAATCTGAAGAATAAAAAGTACATGCAGGATGAAACAGTAGTATCACAAAATGCACTCTGTCCACCGCTACAATCTGCACAGCCACATTGTTCTCCCATTATGGCCGATTCGGCAAGTGGTAGTTCACCGGACATTCCATCGCCACCAAATAATGCTGAAAAAGTAGCCGTGAAGAAGTATCCTGCACATATTGATCCAAGTGACACAAGTGCCTTGTGAGATTTTTTTATTCGTTTTTCTAATTCGCTCCAACCGAAATAGCTTGATCCAATCCGAAAGGTGCCCTTCTCTTAATTTTTTTTTTTTTTTGAATAGTTTCTCACATTAGTTGAGTATATTGTAGCAAACACATTTAATGATGTAATTTCTTTAGATTTATTCCATTGTCCTGTCTGATATGGAGATATTTTGAACCATAATGAAAATTTTATTGGATGTAATTTTCTGAAAGACTATTTTTACAGGCTGTCTGCAACGACATTATCCATTCATGAGGAAATGTTGCGATTTCAGCAACGGAAAATTGAAGAATTACAGAAGGAGCTGCATCGGTCACAGCAACAGTTAAAACATCAACAGCAAGTAATTCTTGCTGCTAAAAAAGCACAGGTTTCTGTTTAAAAATTTCGTGTAACTATGTGATATAAGGAATCATGTAACTTTTTGAATAGGCGTAGAGATTGCTAACAAAAAACTGAAATTGTTATGTGTCATCTGAATATTTAGATTTTGAAGATCGAAGAAAAGACTGTAATATGATCATAAATTAAACTTTTACTTGAATATTTTCGACATGTGTATGAATAAAAGTGTATTAAGAGCAGTATTGCAGCCTTCACCTGACTTTTTCTTTTCATTAATTAATGTATATCACAATGTTTTCAGCAAGCGAAAAGGCAGGAAGACGGTCACTTGGAAGGCAGTCAACAACAGTCTGAAGCAGATCTGTGGCTTAATCAACTGGATATCAAACATTTGAATAAATTCCATATACAACTTTTCTTGCAGCACAAACTCCAGCAACAGCAGATGCAGGTTAGTATGTCCCCTTCTTTTGGGTCAGACTTTTTGATATATTTCTGACAGAATGTTTTTATGCGGGAAATTTTCTTGGACTAAACTTTTTTCATAAAAAAATAAAGCTTATAATGAAATCAAGTTCTCAATGTTTAAAATGCTCCACATTTTCTTCCTCTCAACTGAAGATAAAGTTGATATACCAGTTCATATATGTTCTTGTATATTGGTCATTTTCAGGCTCAAATAACAGAACAGCAAAATTTGGCTTCAACGGAAGAGAAACTACAAGAAGAACTTCATGTTGAACAAGCAGTTCAAGATATCGTGCGTTTGATCAAGCAGGATGCGCGCACTGCACTTCTTATTGTGCAGTTACTGAGACGTTATCAGCTTGAAAGAAGTCATGTGTGTTTCATTATATTGTCAATTTTCACAGTTTATGTCAATTTTCAGCAATTTCCTTGACGCTGTGCTAAGGCAAACAATGGAATCATCGTCTTCCTCTTTCTTTCAGCAACCCTGATAGTTTTGAAAGATAAAATGGTGTTCTTGAGTTATATTATGCGTTGCTATGTTCGGTTCATATTTGTGGTTCTTTTTTTTGCTTTAAAATATTAGAATTCAGGTATTTTCAGGCTGTAGCTGCAGCGGCGCAGATCACTGAGGATCAGAGTTGTGAAACAGAAGTACAGCACAGTGGCAAGGTAGATTCGAATACTGTTGAACCAGTAGCAGTTGTCACTTCACAACATCAGTGTGCTTCATTGACGGATATAACGATGGAATCAGTTCAAAATACACCGCAGCAGAAAGCCGGTCTCATTATTATCAGTGAAGATGAACTACAACGATATGTACCAACAAGCACTCCTCATCCGAAACCTAAAAGTCGGAAGAAGAATAATGTTAGCAGGCAAGTCCTCCAACATGATCTTCTCTTATGGTAGCAATAAAAGTTCTATTTTTGGCAACCGTTTTTTGTTCTTGTTTCAGAGCGAAGACTGATAATGCAGATCCACAGGAGAAAATATCCGCTAATGTGGATATGGAGGAGATTTTCAAGCAGGTAATGGAGAATGCCTCCAAAGCTTTAATGGAAAGTGATGCCAAAAAACGGTCAAAAACAAATGTGGTATCTTCGCCATCTTATTTTTCCGAAGAATTCCAAATCCAGAAAGCAACATCTAGTCCTCTTCGGCAACAAGAAAAAGATAGTTGCCGGATGGAAGGCAATAGCGGCAGCAATCCTACTGCTTTGCCAAGTTGTGACCAGCTGATACAACCTTATGTCGTAAGATTATTTGCCTTCAACACCATAATTCTCGTCCAACAATTTTTAAAGTTCGCCAAAAATTCTATTTTTCCTGTTCCACTTTTTAATATTATTATTAATAGATGTCAGAATGAATAAAAAAGTTGCATAAAAAGCAAATGAAGCAAGATATCCAGTGGATGGATAAAAATATGGAGTAGTAATTACGTCTATCCATCTGTTGGAAAAAAACTCATTAATGTTGATGAGTTTTTTCCTTTCTGATTATTTTTCAGGCCAAAACGCCACGGGCTTCAACGCCTTGCAGCGCGAAACAGAGGATGGAAACTGATATGACTAATATTTGTTTTAAAGAACATGTTGAAATATTCAAAGAAGGAGCTGTTGATGCCCTGCAAACTTTCCAATATTCGAAAAACCAGGCCTTCGATGACCTAATGGATGTTTTGCGTGATGACCAAGGTTCCACCTGATTATTTGTTTAATGCTGAATTGTTTTTTAATGCAGCTTTTATGTGTTAAATAAATAGGAAATAAAGCTTAGTAGCAAATTAGTATTATTATTAATAGAGTTAAAATTTTCAGGTCTACTCGCTGTATTTTTTCAGTTAAAAGTATTGATGTTGTTTGTAACTTGTGAGTTGATTTTTTTAGCAGGAATTGATGATTTGAAATCAAATAATCTCGATTTTGGCACAGGAACAGTTTATGGATCAGATGAGCTGGTAACATTATTAGGTGATGATTGGTTCCAGCAAGATTGTGCAATACCAGCAACACCGGTTTGTTTACAGACTACCGAACAGTGCACAGTTAACAGTGTGATTTTTTTTATTATTCATTCTTAAATGTAAATTGATATGCCTTCAAATTCTCACAATTTTTTTGTGAAAATAATGGTGTTCTGAATCATTTTGTATTTTTATACTTCCGATAAAGAATTTATTTCAGCCGGGTGTTATTAATGAAAAAACGGACAACCTAGACGAGCGGACATCAAACCAGAATGATCCATTAATAGTTTCTTTTGATCATAACCAAGCTGTAGATCAAGTTCGTGATATTCGAATTTCTTTCATGATATTATGGATACATTTATTAAAGATATATTTATCATTTTATTACTTTATTTGAGCAATTGCTTAATATGTCGGATTGTAGTTTCAGAACATTGGTATGGATTGGCTGGATATGATGTTACCTTCACCATCTCCGGATATGAACAGCAGTGGGGTCGATTCTATCCAGTGAAATGTTAACTTCAAAAGAAGGTCCTCATATCTTGCAGTTTATCTCGCAAAACCGGTTCGATTCTTGCCGTAGCTTTACATTCAACAAATGCTCATTCCGTTTGGTGCTTTTTTATCTTTATTCCATTAGCTAATCGTTTCTGCTAGTTGTAAACCGGTCGTAAAACATTTAAACTGTCAAATGTTGATATATTTTCACTTTTATTTAATTGATGCGGTATTGTTGAATATGGAATTTCAAAATCTTATATGGTGTCCCATGATTGTGCGCGAACAATTAAAATCTTTATATTCGTTTCCACGGATGCTTCAGATATGAAATGCTTACGTGAACTATCGCAGTGGACGTGTTTGTTTGCAGTGGGTTTGTTAGTTTGCTGAATATTGACTTGTTATATCAGTATCGTGTATAATTAAAAATGATTGTGCGAAATATATATTTATATGTATTGGGGTTCATACTATAGCAAGTAGTTAGAAATTATTTTCATTAATATTGTTTTAACGCTTTAATGCAATTAAACCTAAAAAAATGTCGAAATATGACCAGAGGAAGCTATTACAGAGATCGCAACATTATAAACGAATATAAATGAGTATTTATGGAATAGTTATTTGTTGAAATCTTTTACTTTCCCAAAAATGCTTTAGCTGAATTTCACCGTTATGTATGAATAAGATATGTGCATTAAAACATATGTTCGAATGGTAGCTTTAGGATTGGCCGTTTCGTAAGTTTCTGCCTTTAAAACCGGTGTCCCCTGTTATTTACAATAATTACTAGCTGTGATTGCATGCATTACTGTTGCTGCTACGGGGCATTTGTATATCGTGATTTACATCGCGTGTTTCTTATTGCCCCGTTTGCTGTGCCAAAGATTTTTTTAGTATAGCTTTGTCCGTAGTATCGTTTTCTTCCCTTTTGTGTTCTTCAGAAATGTTCAATTTTTTTTATTCCGTCTTGTCTCAGTTATATTATGAGTGATACAAAGCCGTTTATCAGTGGTATTTTGATTCAAATTTTCTTGTAGCTGAAACTAATTTCAATGGTTTGTATATAACCAGAATTTTCAGAGAGATTGAAATAAGTTAAAATAATTTAAATTGAGGGAGTATTTGTGTTTTAGCTGTTGAATTTTAAATGAAAGTATTCCTAGTCGTTTGCTTGGTGCTAGCACTACTATTAGGTTTGAATTTATTCATTTTCTTACTTTGTTTTTACTCCTTTGAATCTTTTAAAGCTGCATTTATCCGGACAGCTGCATTACTTACTACATCATCAACAGAGTTGCCTTGTATTTTTTTCTTTATTAAATGTTCTTTCATAAGTGATTTCGTTTGTCAAGTTTGACTTGATTAGTAATTGTGCCAAACCATTATTTAAAAAACTGTGCAGGTCAAGTTTAGATTTATCTACAAGTTTTAAATATTCATCTTTTATATTTGATGCTACTCTATGCATTCATAGCGTCTGTTGTACTTTTTAAAATGAACAAAGGTGTGCGCATACTGTGGGATTATGAGCAGTGCAAACAAACTAGATTCTATTTTTGTTCGATTAGTAACCCATACTTGGGGGTTATACGGTGTATAATATTTTCCTACAGCGCTGTATGCTATACCTTTTTTTGAATGTAATAAGCTAAAGGGTGTTTTGAAGTGAATTGCAGATGTGATATATTTAGCTTATGGGCGATCTTCATGTCGAAAGCGTATCCCTGGTCTTCCATGCTCTCGTTATTGTTTTAAAGTTTGAAAAAGTTTCGAAGAAATTCTCGAGTATTGAATTTTATTGTTGGCTTTAGGAAAACTTTCATGATAACTGGTAAATTTTGTTGTGGAACATGGGGGGGGGTGTTAACATCCCTCTGTCCATTCCTTTATTGTTTCCCTTACTCCACAGTATGGTATACCCGTTGTAGATCTTCCATAAGCATCAATAATGAGATTAGCTGCTAGTGTCAGGAATTTAGTTCACCCAACAGTTTCTCTTCATTCATTTTGTTTAATTTTGCATTCCCCGACGTATATGTGTTGATGTATATTATAACATCTTATACAAGCCTCTTGTTTTGATAGAATTCATGATAATTCAGTTTGCCATGGTCTTGGTTACTAGACTTATGGACATTACTCTTAATCGTGATAATATGAACCCAATTTTGCATGTCCATGTGTTATCTGCCATGTATTTACCAAATATCAGGTAATATAGTAGAAAGACTAATGGGAGAGAAATATCCTTGCTGTATTAAACATATTCCTATGCAACTGCAGTAGCCGGCATAACTGAGCTTCTGAGAAGAATACATACCCGTTATCACGCTCAGGCCTGTTATTTATTATATATTGTGTAACATTCATTCCTCAGTAATTGCTTTTTTAAACAGTGTGTCCGGACAGATTTCGTGCTACGCAACAATTAAATTTTTTAATAATGACCGGAATCAGTGTTTGCTGATTTATCGCGTCTTTGTGTTCAGCTTACGTGAAACGAACAGGGTACCAGTAACTTTGGGGTAAATTTCTATTCCTGCAACGAACATCCCATTCTGTCTCTGTAAGCTTAAATTTTCTTGGTCTCGACAATGGCACAGAATAGAGTGCAAAGAAAAGGAAAGAAAAGTGTATAGTTTATAGCAAATTCTTATGACAGGGGATAAATGGAATGGTAGGTTGACTGGAAAGTTTTCTAATAAATTTATTCTAAGAATAATGGGTACGGTGCGTGTTGTTAATGACAAATACGCAAATATGAAGGAGATGATTTAATTGAGGGACTTGAAATCTGGTTTAGCAGGGATCTTCAAGGAAGTCGCTGATAAATGCATGACTTTCTTGAGCACCACTGTTCCGCTGTTTTAAAAATGTTAATAGATCAAATAATGGAAATTAATCGTTGATATCATTTTTTTTTTCTTAGAAGAAGCAAAAAAGAGGGATTAAGCAAGTTCAGATTGACTGGTCGGCACAGTCCAGCTAACCTGTTAAAGACTGATGTTCGAAGTCTACTCTGGCGTTAGTAATTGGTTGTGTTGGAGAAGATTTTGAATTTTCTATATCTGTTTCTCGAGATTTCAACTTTCATCATGTTGCAAGGAAACTGTGAAAGGAAAGCGAACGTTAGAAAAAAGCGAAATTTCATGTTGCACGAACTGACTATCGTTCATTGGAAAGTGGTGAGAAATTGTATGCATCAATGGCTTCCTTGAAGGGATAAATGATAGGGGGTAAGTTAGCCAGTTCGTTCCACTTTGGAGTGACCTTATGAAGCAGTTGGGGAACACTCCAGTGTAGATATACGTCACACTTGGTGAAGTGCTGCGTCCGTCGATTACGCTCTTTTAGAAAGCATTTCATATACAATTTACATACATCATCGTAAACTCCTCATCTATGCGGTACATATAAATGTAACCTTTTTAAACTAATAGGTTACTGTGCATTCATTTAAATCTGCAAGACGAAAGGAGTTAGACTAAACAAAATGTGACATATCCGTATGTTATGTGTTCCATCACACAGCACATGAAATCGTGGGAACAGTGAGCCCTTATGTGAGTCCCATTAGACTCAATCTCTCTGTACATTCAGGAGGAGGTTTGTAGTTATTATCGGCGGTGCAAATTGCATTACTGATTTTATATGCGGAACGCATGACTGGATCTTAGTCCCTTGAACTTCCCAAAGCAGATTCCAGTAGTCTACAATCTGCAGAATCTCTAGCATGTGCAAGTTTAAATATGCACTTTTGTGTATTCCAAGTGCACGCTCGCATATGTGTATGTTTGCATGTACATAATACATGTGCATATTTGCATATTTGTGTGTATGAATGCGCGCTCATATGTACGTGTTCATATACAAACGATGGTTGATATACGAACGCTAATGTATGTGCTTTTGCGAGTATGCGTGTGAATGTCGATGTGTGTGTGTGTATTTATGTTTGTGTGTATGTGTATGTGTGTATGTGTATGTGTGTATG